AGTGGTCAAATGATATCGGATTCAAGTGATTTTTTGTAGAGGTGATCTTTGAATGAGTATCTACAAAATAGACTGTTTGGATTAGTGAAATACAATCCGGAGTTGGGCCTACAATGGACGTCCCTCAAATAAGCTTATTTGAGGGATCCCTCAATGGAAGCTCTTTATATCATGTGATGACTAAAATTTAAAAATTAAAAAAAAATTATAAGGGACTCGAAAAGCAAATGGTTAAGAACGTTTATCTATGCATATTGTGTTCTATTTCGCCTCCTCAATATCAATTGCATATCAAAATTTGAGATTTTTTTTTTTTTATAACTTCTCTATCCATGATCAAATATGCAGATTGCTGAACGGTTCATAAGAGAAATTTCTCTCTCTTCTTTTTCCCTTTCGAGTAAAAATAAAAATAAAAAGAGAGCGGTTTGAACACTTAAACAAAAAACAAAAACAAAAATATAATTTTTTTTAAAAAAATTATGTGAAATCTAATGGGCTTCCGAAGGAGTCAAAAGGAAATAAAATGCACTAGGCCGTTAAGTCCTGGGTTCAGCGAACGAGCCCGTGTCATCTCCAAGGGAGCCAAAGCGCGAAACAGCGAGAGCGGAAGAGCTTTACGTTTCGGCTTGGCTTGTGAGTGGACCATCGATGATCTCCTTGTTCGCACCTCTGAAATTTTATAACCCTCACGCTTGAGCTCGCACCGTTCGGCCCTACCCAAGCGCGCCAACCTCCAGCGGCGACCGGTGGTCTTATCCGGCTATCTCATCGCGACAGCAGTCAGACCATCTCATCTCCAGGTAAATTAGGGTTTCTATTTGGTTCATATTGATTTGCCTTCTATGTCTGTTATTCATTGATTTTTTATTTTTCAGTCTTTTAAATCCAAATAGAAGCAATGTTTGATGATGTCGTGTGTGAGAGGGATGTAAATGATTACCTCATTGGTTAAGGATTTAGTATCTTTTTCTAGCATTTGGCTTTGTATTTATATTGAGTGTGAGAGGGAAAAAGAACAGTTATATTCTGTTTTAACCCAGCTGAATTTGAGACCAATAAATTGACGAAATTCTAAGTGATTTCGGGAAATTTTGTTTGCTAGGTTATATGGCGCACAGGTTGCTCAGGAATGTGGAGGCGGATGGTTGGGAACGTTCAGACTTTCCCATCATCTGCGAGTCATGCTTGGGCGACAATCCCTACGTCCGGATGACACGAGCTGATTACGACAAGGAGTGCAAGATTTGCACTCGACCATTCACCGTTTTCAGGTGGAGACCTGGTCGTGATGCTCGATTTAAGAAGTCAGAGATTTGTCAGACGTGCAGTAAGTTGAAAAATGTTTGTCAAGTTTGCCTCTTGGATCTGGAATATGGCTTGCCAGTTCAGGTTCGAGATACTGCTCTGGCCATCAGTTCCAACGATGCCATTCCAAAGAGTGATGTAAATAGGGAGTTTTTTGCTGAGGAGCATGACCGAAAGGTAACTTTTCTGTCTTTGCCTTGAACAACCAGGCTTAGTTAGGGTACTAAGTTATGTAAATCTTTTCGAATCCTTTAATGACTAATTTTAATTTTGATTGGTGTGCAGGCTAGAGCTGGTATAGACTACGAATCTTCGTACGGAAAGGCACGACCCAGTGACACTATTCTGAAGCTTCAAAGAACAACTCCCTATTACAAAAGGAACAGAGCACATGTTTGCAGTTTCTACATTCGGGGTGAGTGTACACGAGGTGCTGAGTGTCCTTACAGGCACGAAATGCCCATAACTGGGGAGTTGTCACAACAAAACATCAAAGATCGTTACTATGGGTATGTCCAATGCTTCATATTTCCTGTTCTCAGTATGGCAATGAAGCATGAATTTCCAGTTGCATGTTTTTTTCTTATAGTTACAGTTGGCTACGTAAACTTGTGAATTTGTTTGTTGATTAGCATTGTTTCTTATGTTTAGTATTTTCCACTCTATTATTTCCTCAGATTAAAGTCTACTTTTTTCAGTTGGGAATGAAATTCTTGTCTGAAATATTGGTAGATGTAATTTCATGGCAAGTAGTAGATGAAGCCCCCTTTTTTTCCCTTCTCCTGTTGGTTATTTTGTTTAAACATTTTTTCATGTTCCTCTTTCAATATTTCATACTTCAAGATATTTATTCTGAAGATTGTAGCTTCTTTTTCAGTTTGGGAGGTGATAAGAGTACTACTGCAGCCTCTAGCTAGCATTTTCGGCCAACATTTCACAAACCTATATCCCTAATCTTTCTGTTGCATGTTTTCACATGCCCGTGTACTGTAATGTACAGATTTCTGAAGTTTGTGACACTCACATCTCATCTTAATTATCTGCAGAGTCAATGATCCAGTGGCGATGAAGCTGCTTAACAAGGCTGGAGAGATGCCCTCCCTGGAACCTCCTGAGGATGAAAGCATAAGAACTCTATACGTAGGTGGGCTTGATGAGAGAATTTCTGAGCAGGATTTGAGGGATCAATTTTACGCTCATGGTGAAATAGAATCTGTTAGGATGGTACTCCAACGAGCATGTGCTTTTGTAACCTACACAACAAGAGAAGGTGCAGAAAAGGCTGCAGAAGAACTCTCTAATAAACTGGTGATAAAGGGTTTGAGATTGAAGTTAATGTGGGGTAGGCCCCAAGCACCAAAACAGGACTCAGAGGGCACAGCTGAAGCTAGGCAGCAGGCAGTGGCTCATAGTGGGTTGTTGCCTCGAGCAGTCATATCTCAACAGCAGAACCATTTACAAGACCAACCTGCACCAGTGCACTATTACAACATGCCACCTCCACCCTCACAGGAGAGATCATTTTATCCGTCAATGGATCCTCAAAGAATGGGGGCTATAGTTCCATCCCAGGAAGGGGCTCCTAGTGGGCCTACAGGGTCAGGCGAGAACAATTCGAGTGCAGAAAGGCAGCAACGCAGTCAGCATTATGCTTTTCAAAACATGCCTCAACCACATGGCCAATATCGGCAGCAGTTTTATCCTCCTCCCTACGGGTATATGCCTCATCCACCAGCACCGTACCAGCAATACCCTCCGCAATATCATGCTGGAGTGCAGCCACCACCATCCTTGCCAATGAACCAACAGTACCAGAATTCAGCAACACCAGGGCCTGCACACTCGGGCTCTACATCATCAGGATCTGCACCATCAAATTCTGGACCTTCGGGGTCCACACCATCTGGTTCTGGGTCTGCGCAGACGGGGTTATCACAGCAGTGACACTATGAACTATCCTTCTGTTGTGATTTTGTAAAAGTAATATCTTGGTTTATTAATTAAATGATTTTGTTCTTTATATGTTATGCGTTGCAATTATATTTTTGAAATATGTTTTCTTGAACCATCTGTAATGAAAATGATTGGTCGTCTCATAATCTTTCTCTAGCTTCAAAGATGGTTGTCTCAGCATCATTTTGAAACTGACCAAAGAAAAATTATCTCATAGCAAATAAATCCAGTGACATTTCCTTGACCAGTTTAAGAGGGTCTTGACTTTCCTAAACGTAATAGTTTGATCAATTATCTTGTGAATGATCGATGTTTGATATGATTTTGACTGTCAAGAAAAAAATTGTGTGATTCTGACTGTCATGAAAGAAAAAAAAGAGAGGAGAGGAAAATTTACGTTTCCTTTTGCGCTAATGGGCTTCCATGGACCAGCTCCCCAACGTGGCTCAACAGTCTTGTCTTGAAAATTTGGGCTCCTATAAACCAATTTTTTTGTTTTTTTAGCACACGCATAGTTTAAATTATAAGGAATGAGGGTTACTCACACATACACAACTAAGATGTCATGGGGTTCGAACTTGAGACCTCAAGTTTGCACACCAAGACCATTTTCCACTCTAAGTTTTTATTTGGACATGTTGAAGACCTCCAGTTTAGGGATGAAGCATTGCTCGACAAGGCCTCGAGTGATTATATTTTAAATTCAGAAGAAAAACAAAAACAAAAACAAAAGCCTTAAAGTTTTTAATGTATTAGAGAAAATGTTAGCTTTCCAAATCTCCCATATAAATAGGAGGGTATGAACATTCTTTTTTTTCATATTTTTGTTCATGGTATTTTATATAAAAACTGTTTTACTTATAAAGACTAGAACTTTGTGGGAAAGACTGAAGGAGTTCACCTAGCTAGCTGATAGCCCGAATCTTTCCTTCTATTGTAGTTCATAAGCTGCAAGTCTATAGAGTTGTTCAGTTATTGTCTCCCTGACCAGAAACTTCATCACTGTTTGAAACAGCAAACTGTTTGAAAGAAATTTATCATCTTCTTTTTATACCACAGGATTAGAATTTGATTCCCCTACCTCCCCTCTATTGGGTCCTAGGCCTTTTCTGAACCATTTAGAAAAATAAACGTAATTCCCTTTCACAAGCCTTGTAAAAGCCAAATCTACTATTTAAAAAAAGGTTCTGTTTCTTACTAAAATTTGCTTTCGGTTGATTCTTACTTTGTTCTTAAATTAATTATGAAATTTGGTTTCATTATTTTTGTTACCATTTTACTATTTGGCCCCATTTTTTATACACACCATCAACATCTTCAGATTCTTTACTAGGAATCCAAAATAATATTTTTTTTTTTCAGTACCAATTTCCAGCAACTTGCACCCTTCTTCTTTTGCTTGGAATATTTCTCATGACACCACAAAGAAGAAAGAAACTAGGATACGCATTATCATGTCGGAAAGTTGCATTGTCATGACTGAAACTTAAATTACATAATTGGTTTGGGATACTGCCACGATCAGTGGCGGAGCCACCTAAGGACCAAGGTGGGCCTAGGCCCTCTCTCATATTTTTTATTTCCGCATATTTTTACTTATATGTGTTGTTATATGTTTGCTTCTTGGAGTAAAAACTGTGTTTTTTTTTTCCCTCTCATTCTCTTCCTTTTTGATTAACTTAAGCTTTGTGAATTCCCATCTCCCCCATTTTACATGTCTAAGCAGGGCATCTTAATATTGGGATTTATGAACATTTTTTGTATTTCTTCTCTTATTGAAGTATAAATTATTAAATTTTGAGTCTTTAATAGTGTAGATGATGAGATTAATATTCACCCATGTTAAAATATGAAATTCGGGACAATTATGATTGTAATAAGTGGATAAATTATTAATCAATATGAAATGATATTATTAACTTATTAATCCAATTAACGCTTGAGGGCTCCTATTCGAATTATTTTTAAAATATTTGTGAATAGCTCTCTCTAATTTGAAATCCTGACTTCACCACTGGCCACGATGGCATTTTGATTAGATGTAAGTTTTTCTCATCAAGCTTTTGCTTGCGTGCTAAACATTATCAAATAATATATTGTAATATTGTAATATTGCAATATTGAGAATATATATATATGTGTGTGTTTGGTAGCTAGGGTTTTGAGATTGCAGAGAGAGCCGGATACAAATACAAAGCGTGCTGATTAAGAGGAATAAGCGCGGCGGAAGAATATAGACATTCTCAAAAGGGGAGAAGAGAAGGGCAACAGGCCATGTATATACATATATTCACAATATATAATATGGGGATGAGGGCAAAGGCTAAATATAGTACAACAATAACAATATGTCCATAACTACGACTACAACATGCGTACCAGTCTTTGTATCGCGTGTTAAATTCGAGAACAAACAATAAAAACACTTTGGTTTTATTTTTTTAATATTATTTTTCATAAAAACAATATATATATATATATATATTTCATAGATAAATTAAATATATGAGAGAAAGAGAAGCACATGCATGACACTCTGCATCTGCAGCAGGAGGAGGAGCAGGCTCATGATGATGATGATCCTCATACACTAAAACCCAATAGCTGCGTGCGTGAGTGAATGTGTAAGTGTGTTTGCGTGTACTTCGAGGCTTTTAGAAGAAGCACAGATCATCTCACTTCACTACCTTACAAATTAATCCAACCCAGTCAAGTCCATGCCATGCCGCCCCACTACTTTAATTACTTGGTTTTAATATTAATATCAATATCATCAAGGGCGTGCTACAAATTTTGTATTTCAATAGAATATAAACTAATCTAATGAATTGTGATTAATTTATATCTTAATGAAAAACAGAAAATTTATCGTTTCAACAGCTACAACCGAGTTCGCATACAATAAGAAGAACACGATTAGGAATAGCAGAAAACTCCACTATCAATATGAATGGTGTGGTTTTGTTGGGCAAGGGTACATGCGTGTGTATGAAAATTGAAATTGTAAAAAAATGTAAGAAAAGAGTTGGAGTAGAATCTAACCGTGAGACGAATAGAAACACACAGTACATACAAACAGCAAGAGGCAAGCAATTAAAACAGAGACTAGGCAGGCAAAGGAGTGAAGGAGGGAGGGAAGGAGGGGGCCTGTGGGTCTGATGAGTGCACAAAACCAAAGGCCCCAATATTTCTGACACCAGGATTCCCACACTTGTTGCTTCCAACACTCTACACGATAAAGTGAATTTTTTTTCTTTCCATTTTTAATATATGGGTTTGCTCTCCTTTTTCCTCTTTTCTTTTTCTTCGTTTACCAACTTCTCCATACAAGGAAATCAAAGCCTTTAAAGGAAGAAAATTCTTGCAGCCTTTCCTAGACATAGAAAGATAGATCGCTCTCCCCACCCCCCGTCCTTCATCACCCCACCCACCTTCTCCTTTTTTGACTATCATCTCTCTCTCTCTCTCTCTCTCTCTCTCTCAATAATACATTCATTTTTGTTACATTGCCAGTGGGCAAATGGGGGTGCTCCAGTTACTAGCTACAACATTTGAATATGCATTTTGCCACCCCTAGCTTAGCTAGCATTCTTTTTGATTTGTCCCTCAAAGCTTTGTAACACCTAATTTATTGTTCTAATACTATTAAATGGTTTTGTTTAGTGTTCCCAATGGCATGTTGTGCATTAACCGCTGTCTCTAGGGTTTAACTTTTTGTGGCGGTCTTGTATACTGAAAGAAGCATCTGTAGTAACTAGAAAGGGGGTACAGTTTCTGCTTTGATCTTCCCCATTTCATGTATCCCGCTGGCTTACCAATTTTGAATTCTCTAGTATTTTTCAGGCAGAGCCACAATTGGTCAGATTTCAGGTTTTATTAAGTAAACAATACAAGATACTTATTGCTTAATGTATATTCCAATCTAGTAATAAAACATTGTTAATTTCAAAGGATTTGTAAATTGATAAAGGTCGATCAAATGCAACACCGCACGCCGGAGTCACCAATAATCTGACAAAGATAGATGGAATTTGGAAGAGTACAAATAATTATAAGGAAATGCAATTACTCTTTCTTGTCTCTTGATTTTGTACCCCAGAAATTACTGTATGAGATTACGATCTTCCTCTGATGTGAATATGTTTTGCAATCTGTCTGTTATCTGCTCTTACTTTTGGAATTATGCTTTGATGGTGTCAATGTCATGCACAGATGCTTTGTATGTGAATGCGTCAATCCCTGTCCCCTTTTAGCTACATAGTTGCTCATCATCTATATGTAGCGCAGTTTGGTTGGACACTAAGAACACCGAAAAAGTAATTAATTAGTTAAATTGAGAAGATTAAATATGCTAAATAGAGTTTTCCAACTTTTAATTTCGCTAGAAGAATCTATTTGAATGAATATAACGTTTCCAAGAAAGAGCCAATGAGATTGCTAGAAATTAAAGTTCAATTTCCATCATGTGTTTCACTGGATCTTTAGAATCAAAATCTTATCTTTGTCAGAGTTTATTGACGAGGACTCGTTATCCTCGTGGAAAAATTTCTCCTCCCAATTAGCCTACTGATCCTAATTAATTGGTTTTCAATTCAATTAACTATATTTGTGAGGGCCAATAAAAACCCTCCACACAAATTCAAAAAGAAAAAAGAAAAAAGAATTGCAGGAAGATTATTTTCTTGAAAACCATATGGTTGTTGTTCTTGATCATCTTCATGATGTTTATCTACAATCCACATCAATGGTAATATCAGGTACTCAAATAAAAAGGAAATCCTTTCCTCTTTCAACACTTGGTCCTTTTGAAAGGTCGCATCATTGTTCGTCCATTTGTGGGCAACATATATACAAAGCTCTATTAATGTAATTATATAGTTTACAGTAATACAATTTCAAGGCTGGAGCTACGGATCTCAGTTCTTAACCTTAAACCTTAGTGAGATTAATTGGAATATCTATGCGTCTCGTGTCGGTGTTAAATTCACCGGATTTTACTTGATTGAGGTTTATTAAACAAATTAATGATAATGGTTTTAGTGTATAATTGAAATTAAGATCAATGATGATCATAAAGTAGAAATACAAGACCATAGATTCTGACAAGGCCTCTGCTTTTATATGTCAACCCTAAGATTTATTGTGTTGGTGGCCAATTTGGACAGCTAAAGAGATTCTTTGTTAGATATTGACTATTCGTAGAAAAATCGCATAAGGTTAGAATATCATTGCGAAATTTGGCCTTTGGTCTTGTGCAAATGAGGACATTCCACCGTGCTAAACCTTAACCCCATGTCTACACAATTGCAAAAGAACAAGGACAGGAAGAGAGAGAGAGAGGGAGAGAGGGAGAGGGAGAATTAATTATTTGCTATCAAAATCAAATGTCATGGTGGCAAGGTAGGTATATATAAGATATCTATGAGATAAAAGGGAGACTTTGGAAAAACCCAAAGGAGAGAGAAATTTTGTAAAAGAACCCAAAATGGACAAATTTGCCCTTATTTATTTTTGGATTTCCTAATAAATCATTTACACTTGCATGTCTTTGATTTGAAAGTTGAGAGGTTTTTCTGTCTTTTTTTAAAAAGCTTTGGTTTTTTCCAAAAGTGAAATTTTTTTTATGGCTAAAACCTAAATTTACTGAGATAATAAAAAGGTTTCATCTAATCAGAAAATTAATTTATTAAAGTATGTATGAGCTCAGTTTTAACATATTCTGATTAGTTAATAACATGTGATTTAGATTAATATTAATATTAAAAGGGTTTTTTAAGTGGGATTATGGGATGCAACCTGTATGGACAGAAGTAAAGGTGGAATTAGGTAGAGCTATAGCTAGCAAACATATGTCATGGATTATTCTAAATTGAATACCTAAACAAAGAAGTTGGGGGCTAAGTACAAATCTATGTTGGTGAAGCAAAATAGTATAAGATAATGATTTGGTAATAAAATATGTGTGAAGGGCATGAAAAAGGAAAAAGCTAGGAAAGATAAAGATTAAAAGAAGGAAGTGATGGAGCAAAAAGGAAAGAAAAAAAAAGAAAAAAGAAAGAAAAAGATGCATCGATAAATTATGGTATTTTCTCCTTTTTCTCTTTTTGATCACTTTAATTATTATTTTTTTAATTTAAAGGGAAGAGAAAGTAGAGGAGGGGGATGAGGGAATCCAAGTGTTCCAAGCACTCCCAGACAAAGTGAGGTTCAGAGAAGAGAAAAGCAACCTCTGCTTTACGACCCAGAAAAGGAGATTTCAAACACCATAAGGCCTTGGAGCTTAGGAAATTGCGTGGTTATTAACCCTACCCAACTCACTCAACCCACAAACAATCCAATTTTTTTTCTCTCTCTCGCTCTCTCTCCCTCTTTGTGATCTCTTTCTCTCTCTTGGCTGGCTCTTGGTGCCTATATTTAGAGGCAGTAGCTGGGGGTGCAAATCCAACCCCACATTCTCCTCCTTTCACTCTGAAAATCACAACACAAAAATAACCCCGCAAAAAAGAAATTTTTTTTTTAGGCTCTATCTCTTGAAACCCTTAAGTTTAGGTCACTGGTTTGCTTGTTTTGTGCCAATTCAAATGGGTCTGAGCTGTGGGGCTTTGAAGCTCCATTTTGATTATGACCCAGCTCCCATCATTATCCCGTTTATCACTCTACCCTTTTGTGTGTGTGTGTGTGTCTCTCTCTCCCCCTTTTTATCTCTTTCTCTCTCCCTCTTCAATATAAAACCCCCTCTCTCTCTCTCTCTACCGCTCTTTATACCCCTCTTCCACTTTCCCTTGTCTTGCACACTATAGCCATGCCAAAGCTTCTCCAGGATACCTACTAGCTAGCTCTACAAAATCTCATTTGCTTCAAATCCATGCATTCTTAGTTCACTCTCTCACAAACCCATGTCATATCAACAAAAACCATTCATTCTCACATCACAGATATATATGTGTGTGTGTATCCACAAACACACACCTAACTAAATTCATGAAAGGTGGGATGTTGGGTTGGCGTGAGATGAGGTCTTAGGCTTGAATATATTGTCCAAACCTAGCTAGTAAGTTTGAGAGAGAGAGAGAGAGAGAGATATATATATATATATATATATAAGCTTTTACATCAATTGATCTATGTCGTTTGTATATATTATATATATAGCATGAACATACGCATAGATATACAAAGTATATATGTGCCTGGCTCCCTGTATGCCATTTGCAGAGTCCCACCGAACATCGATGGCCTCCGTGGATGGCGTATGAGGAGCCATGCATATAAACCCATGTGTTTCCTGCGTGTGTTTCAGTACTTTTACATTCATTCATTCATTCATTTTGTTCTATATTTTCTTCCCAACATGCCAATTCTGCAGTCTTCAGGGGTATTACGGTCATGTTGGGCAGCATTGTAATTTCCCATGTTTGCAGATAGCTAATGTGTCTGAGAAAAAGGTACTTCATCTTCTTCCTTCTTCTTCTTCTTCTTCTTCTTCTTCACATGGATGTTAGGGCTCTTCGTTCTCTCTCTATGAAAGTGTGAATATCTGTGATGACATGCTTTACTTTTGCAGAGAATAATTATGGCTTCTGAAATATAAATTTGGCATTTTACTCTGTCACATGTATTTTCCATCATTTCACCGAACACATGTAACGAGGGCTTATGGCTTCGGCCCAAATTCCGGTAAAAATTAGAAGCAGCTGGTTAAGAACCTCGCTTGGTCCCTGACAACATGGAAGTTACAACTTTCCTTACATGTTGCCCATCATGACATGACATCCATCCATGACATCCATCCATCCATCCATCCATCCATGTACATCGATCATGTTCCACGCTTATCTCATGGACACTTCTAATGACCTCTGGTCCTAATCTTGTTGACTCACCCCAAAAAGGAGCTAATTGTTTTTCTTTTAATCTGTTTTGTTTTTATCTTCAAGTTTTGTTCATCGGATTGCTCAGTTTTAAACCTTCTTCTTCCAAATTAACATGGTGATTCTCCCACTTGCGTACAATGGACAAAACCCATTCGTTTTAGGCCGTTGGTTTATAAATCAAAGCCAAAAGGTTTTTTGTTTTTTATTGTTTTTTTTAGGGTGTAGATATATAATAAAAAAATGAGTTGTGTTGGACCTGTTGGAGATTAGATTAGCTAGATTACATTACCAAATAAAAGAATGAAGCTAGATCTTTGATTTGATTTGAGGGACATGTTCAATTCAAGGGCTTCAGATAAAAAAGGAAGTGAGAAGGCAAAGAAACCAAAAAAATAAAATAGAGAAAAAGAAAAGAAGGTTTGCCTTATCATCAGTAAATAAATAGATAAGATTTTGATTTTCCTAGTTCCTAGACAATTTGATCATATTATTCCTTGTCCTGCATGCGTACAGCTAGCAGATGCTATACAACGAACGTTTAGAGAATATGCATTTAGCCTCATCTGCCTGCTTGCTGCTATGTATCTTATAGCACATATCATATCATTTTGCCCATTTCCCCATTCACCCTCCCTCTCTGTAGTCTGTATAATAAAATTTATTACCTTGGAACTTTAGTCTCGGAGTATATGGGCCGGACCGTAGCCCCACTAAGATTGTAGGGAGCAAACGACCTGGCCAAGATTGTAAAGCCGCTAGCTTATGATTTGCTCAACTCTACAATCTTAGTCGGATTCAAATGTAGCCCGGCCCAAGTTCTCCAAACTAAAGTTCTTGTAACGCGGCCCAAATTGTCGGAGACTAAACTTGCGTGGCTTGGTAGTTGGTATCTTCATCTCTATATAAAGTATGAACAGATAGGTAGCTAGAGAATCAGAGATCTAGAGTGATACAGAACCGTACGACTGGGCAGGGCTTCAATAAAAGAAAAGCAAAAGTGTTTAGGGCAGCAGCAGGAGGATGATCATCATAATGGCTATTAGGAATCTCAAACACTGCAAACAGACTGGACCACATCTCTTCTATGTCTCTCTGTCTCTCTGTCTCTCTCTCACTCAATAATTTTTTTACTCTCTCTTTTCATCAATTGGCTAGCAGGGAATATAGTATACGGTCAAAGCAGGTCAAGAAAGGACATTTCGTCAGGCAAAGAAAATGGACCACCTTTGAGATCTCCTGGGAAATAGAAATCAATTACTTACTGCTGGCTGGGTGGGATTTTTAAAATTTCAAGTTCACTCTCTCCATGCCCCATGCCCTCAATTTTCACACCCCCAACATTCTCCTGCGATTGGCCAGCCCAGGGGCGTAGGGCTTAGCTTAATTTGTTATAAATAAATAAATCAATGAATCTTCATATGCTTAAAAATTTTTGCTTGAGGACATAGATATAGTCAGATGTGCATGAATATGTACCAGCTAGTGTAAGTGAGGTCCAAACTAAGCTACCTTCTGGGTTATATGTGTATGTATAGATTGTACACTCCAAGTGTCTCAGGAATAGATTCTTTCCCAATATATCTGATTGAATTTCAAATGATATTCTTGCTGAGAAATAATATATCATATGACCATTTTAATGGAACTGATATATGCTAACAGTAATGGAAAAATTAAACATTCTATGATCCAGCTTCACATATATGGGAGAAATAATGTTTATGATCTCCCCAGCTATCTCACAATATAAGATGTTTATATTGTAAGAACCGGAATTTGAACTAATTTCTTCTCTTTTGTTTCTAAAATGTGTGACCTAAATATAGAGGCTTGGAATCCCCTGAATTCACATACCCAATTACATCGTATTACGAAATGTGAGATTTTATTATCATAGATATTCTTCATGACTACATGACAAATTTTGCACCACTACTTCCGTAGTTGCTAGGCTTCTAAGTCTACGTTAATGAATAATAATAATAATAATAATTTAGATTCTAAAAGGGTAAGGTTGGGGGCTTGGCATGGTGAAGATGCTAAGTGGTGAGCTTCTATCTGTCCTGTGGGCTATTTTTAGGTCCATCTTATCAGTAATAACTCCTGGCTCACAAATTTCCACGTTCATAAACAAATTCATGTTCATCTCATCCTTCATGTTCACCTCATCCTTGATGTTCATCATCGTCATGAGCTTAATGGCTGTCGACATGCGGGGCCGGAGGCTGCATTTCTCTTGTACGCAAAGCAGACCCAACTTTAAGAACTCGATGGCTTCTTTTTCTGAAAAGTTTCCATCAACTTCAAGCCTAGAGTCCACCAGATCCACAAGCCTCTTGCTCTTGTACATTTCCCATGCCTGCATCCATCATCCATGACTCACTTACTTTATTTATTAATTCACATTTTAATTCATTAATTGCATGTATAATTAACATATCTATATTATTAATTAGGTTAATTTTATCCAAATTCGGTTATGTTTTGTTGTTTTAGGTATTACGTGTACTTTTATTTTATGTGTTGATGAGATGACAGATTTATGTGTATGCACGTGTATCACTTTCTTATCGGAAAACCAAAGTTGATTCTAAGTTCAAAAATGGGTTAGGGCTCTTGAGCTACTGTTGTGAAGAGACTCAAGACTTCCATCCATTCAAAAATGGGTGAGGATTTAATCTTATTTAGTAATAAGAAAAATCCTCATTTTTTTTTTAATACAAGCAATACTCGAGGAGTGTGGATTCAAACATATTGAGTCAGATACATTAATAACTTACTTGAGCTATAAGTCCCCTACAAAAACCCTCATGATTTAATCAATCGATCATGGATATAAGGTATATAAATGTTTAGCGGTTTTAAATGGAAAAAGTCCAACTTATATAAATAAATAAAAAGTAGATAATTACAAACATATGTGCTATATATTGACTTTTTCTTTCTCAAACAAGCTTAAGATATGATGGATTTTCACATATAATTAGAGTTACATGCCTACCTTTTGGACAAGATAATGTTCTCCAAATTCTAGATCAAAGTCAATTGCAGATCTTCCACTGACTATTTGTAAAATCAACACTCCAAAACTGTATACGTCTGACTTTCGAGTTAGGTGTCCAGAAATGGCATATTCCGGAGCAAGATAGCCTCTGAATTAATGCATCAACAACAAAATTCACCAATTAAAAATATTAATAGCAATCAAATTAAACCATGCAAAATGAATCTATTGGGTTGGAGCCAAACTTGGACATGTTTCACTTACAATGTTCCAGCCACTCGTGTACTGATCTGAGTAATGTTTTCTGGGAATAGTTTTGACAATCCAAAATCTGAGATTCTTGGATGAAAGTTCTTCTCCAAAAGTATGTTGCTGGCCTTTATATCTCTGTGCACAATGTGTGGTTTTACCTCCTCGTGAATGTGAGCAAGCCCTCTAGCAATTCCTAGACAAATTTCACGCCGTACCCTCCAATTCAATTTTGACCTAATTTTCTCCTCTCCTGCTTAATTCAACAATCAAAGTGATCGATTACATATTTTCATGGTACTCGTGTATTGATATGTAACAACTTTATCATATTATTAATTTGGATCACACATTCAAATATAATTCTACTATAATCAAGTGCAAATTGATAGTTTAACAACATAACATGTCAAATTGTCCGATAAGAGAAGATTTCTATCTGTTGCCATATATAAAGTGAAAACAATGTAGCTTAATATATTTTTACCTTGCAACATGTGTGCGAGGTTGTTGTGCTCCATGTAATCATAAACAAGAATTCGACGGTGGCCTTCGATGCAGCCACCACGCATCTTGACCAGATTTTGATGGCAAATGTTGGAGAGTGATGCTAGCTCAGACATGAACTCCCTGTCTCCTTGCTTTGATTCAGCTGAAAGCACTTTCACAGCCACATCTACTCCGTCGTTAAGTCTTCCCTTATAAACAGATCCAAATCCACCTTCACCAATTTTATTGGATGGATGGAAATCATTGGTGGCGACTTTCAATTCTTTGTACGTGAAGGCGTGGGCATTTTGAAGAAATTGTAAGCCTAATTTAATGAGAAGATAGCCAAGACTTCCATATCAATACATGTGTACATTATTACAGGTACTAATTAATTATATATGTAAAATATAAAAATATAAAAAATTATTTGATAGTTGATAAGAAACCAAAAAATGAAAGCAGAAATAAGAAAGTGGAATTGGATTATGATTAGCTGATGAAGGTTAATTTTTACAGAAAACATCGACGATTATGCTTACCGTGTGTGCTATCATCGACGATTCCAGGTGAAGAGAAACATTTTGTGCAGGGAAAAGAGAACTTCATGATTTATCGTTGCAGGAAAATTGAGCTGAAAATGTATGCTGTGTCCTTAACAACTGGGTTTGATTTTAGGAAATTTGCAGACAAAATCACTTCTGAAGTTCCATGTATTTGATTCGAAGGAAAAGTTGCACTTATATATAATTGTCTTATGAATCCAAATGAGAGGGAGAGAAGTGAGATTGTGTTTACATAAACATAATAGTAGTCATTGACTGCAACAGATTGTTCTTTCTTCTTGGAATGGATCGATGAAGTCACCACCAAATAAACATTGAAAGAAAAGAAAAGAAATGATAAGTTATAATGTCCTAGAATTTGGAGCACTTAGATCTCTTTCCATGATATTATTGTTTACATAATTTAAGTTTTAATTCCATGGAGATTGCGGGCGGCTGCAGGCGGAGGGAGCGTTGGAATAAATAATGCCTACAATTAAAGTCTATGAATTGTTTAACCAAAACCTAATGAAAGGACAGATTTTAGCCTCTTTGACTTCAAAAATAAGACAAATTAAATGGGGATTATGACTCTAATTCTTTGTGTATGTGTGTGTGTGAGTGTGACTACATACAGTCGAGTGAGTGTGTGAATAGGGTTAAGTGATTTCTCCATCTAGAAGGGAAAGCATTATTCTTATTAAATAAAAAAATTAAGACAACCCAAATGAGCCATGTTCACCCCGTTAAAGTTAAATGATCACATGGTCTATTTTTATTATTATTTTATTTAAATCACATGGTTAA